AAATTCCAACCATGGTGGCTGGGGCAGTGCAGCAGGAGCTGCAACGCCAGGGACCACAACTGCAGAGACCAAGTTTTCACACTTGCCCAGATGCCATCCTTTGAGTTAGGTCTTAGGTTACAATATTGTCCAACCCTCTAGGTAACCACCCCTCACTACACGCAACCAATAGGATTGTTTTTGAGACGGACTAATAGGTAGGTGGGTCAAGAGGTTGGCACAGTTGCCCCCACCCAAAAGGCCACCTATAAAAGGTAAGGACCATTCACCTGGACCTTCCTAGCTAGTATTCCCCGCAACAACCCCTGTCTGCTTTATACTCTCCTTTTGTCTAGCTTGCTATCCCCAAACCCTTGCCTCTACTTTGATCTCTTGATCTGCAGTCAAGAGACCCACACGTGCTGGCTGGTTCTGGTCGTGTGTTAAAACTCCCTAGATTTCTATTTCTTCCCAGCCATTTTTCATTGGAACGAACAAGCTTCAGGACAGATAAGTATCACCCCTCATCACCCCACCTGCGAATGCAAACGTGCTTATTTTAATACTGTATTTCTAAGGAACTTGATTGAATGTGTGAGTGCATCAGTAGTGTTTGTATGAGATTTATATTCTTTAAGTAAAATACATTTATTTTAACAACACCAGCCTCGACTCCTTCTCTGGTAACCCTTGGTGGGAACAGGACCTTGGTATAGTTGGCAAGCACCCAGTTTAAAATTTGCCAATTGTTGTAGATAAAGCAATTCGGCTAACAGCAGGCTCATTGAACCTCAGCAGGAGCCCCTATCCAGCCACAGTAGTATCGGTGGCCTCTCCCTCTTCCCGCTATTGGTTTAAAAGAAGTCATAACCTGAATTGGGTTTGTGTTCGGGCTGGGGGAGGGAGGAATGTGTGCAGAAGACAGCATATTACATTGATGCTTCAGCAATTGAATTGGCCACCTCTTTCAAGGTATGCTTCAAGGTCCTGGTTTTGACCTGGGATGTCCTCAGCATCACTGGCCCAGAGTATTTACTGGACTGTCTGCTCCTGTATCAGCCCTCCCTCTCTTTGTGGTCTGCCAGTGATGCTCTCCTCCAAATCCCATGTCAGTTTGGTGCTTAACTGACATCCACTGAAGTGGGGCCTTTTTAGTGGTTGCCTCAACAAGGCAGAACTCGCTGACCCTTGGAGGTATGTCTTTCTTCTTCACTAGTCTCTTTTTGCAGGCTGGCAAAGAGGGTTTTTTTTAATCTTCTGGGACTTTGGTATGGGATGTTAGATCTTTTTAAAACCCAGGTGTTTTATATAGCAGCGGCTTGGCAAGGTTTGTTAGACTGATGGTGAACATAAGAACATAAGAGATGCCAATGTTGGATCAGGCCAAAGGCCCATCCAGTCCAACACTCTGTATCACAGAGTGGCCAGAAATACCAGTGCCATCAAGAGGTCCACCAGTGGGGCCAGGACATTAGAAGCCCTCCCACTGTTTTACAGAAGTAGCATAAAGTAGCTGGATGATCTTTCCTGTTTTACTGTCTCAATTGTAATTGTGCATCACTTTGAAAACGTGGCTAAAAATATCCCAGTGTAAACAGCAGAGGTCATTTCGCGGGGGATCGCAGTTCCCCCGGGTGAGGTACGGGTTGGCGGGGCACATGACGAAGCCCTGCCCCCTGCTTCCGGCCGCCCTGCTTCCGGCCCTCATTCAGCCAGGAGGAGGCAGGAGAAGAGAGAGGGTAAGTTGCTTCCTCCCTGCCTCTCCCCACCCCTGCCTGCCTGGGGCCAGGGAGGGCCTTTGCGGGGCTTCCTTGCACTCCCGCTGGCCTTGCAGGTCCACCGCCGGGTCCCTCATGGGGCTCGGCAGTGGAGCTGCAAGGCCGGTGGCGGCGGCCGGGACCATTGGGGGCGGGGTATGTGACCTTATGACACATCCGGTGATGTCAGGGGGTGTGGCCTTATGACACACTTCCGGTGATGTCAGGGGGTGTGGCATATGCTAATGAGTTATGCTAATGAGTTCCCCTAGCTCTTTTTCTATGAAACGACCCCTGGTAAACAGTAAAATATACTAAGCCCGCTGGACTGAATTGTGCCTACAACTTATTCCACATCAGCGGGGAATGTAATACCTGGTGCAGAATGTGGGATCCACAGAATTTTAGCTGTATGAGTGCCGGATTATTAGGGACCCAGAGCATGGTTGGATGGAAGGCATGTGATCTAGCCCCTTTATGAAAATAACAGGTTCAGATCCGGTCAGTGGCTGCCTGAGGAACTACTGGGGAACTGGAGGCATGGCACATTGTGCTTCTTGATGGAAAGGTAGGCTAGCAAATCGAGTTAAATAAATTTTGAGGGCCTGGGATGTTTTAATCCCAAAGTACTGTCACCTGTTTTCAGCAGCATAATGCAGGGCAGAAATCTGGACCACTTTATTGGAGCAGTCAGTAACATATTACTGGGAATGCCCGAGGCAAGACTTGATTTTTCAAGCCTACCTACATGAGAAAACAGAAAGGAGCCCCTCCTCTTATCCTTTTTCACCCCTACTGGAGTTGAAAAAATTGCAACCCTCATCTCTCCACCTATTTCGTTGTTTAAATGGTCGCAACCTGCAAATGACAGTTCCTCACAGGAGTAATTTACGCTGATGGAAAAGTATATATAAATGCCCCTGATTTTGTTCCTGAAGTATTTACACGCTGTTGGAAAGGCGAACGGTTCTCACAAAATGACCACACCTGAAATGGTTCCAGCTACTTTATGGCTTCATAAAGATTCAGGGTAAAAAGCCTGTTAATGCAGCAAGCGTATATTATCTTATGCCTTCCATCCATCTCTCTGTTACTTTAGCAGATTTATCACCGTTTGATGGGAAAATTCAGAGAGGGAAGGGAACAGGGCTACTAATGATAAGTAAGAGACGACCCTCTTTCTTTTCAGGCTCTGCGCATGTGGCTAGATCAAGTGGCAAATTCCAGTGCAGTAATGTGTTTGACCTCAATTTGGCTGCTCACCTTCTTGCATATGTTGGAGTAACTGCCACATGAGAAAGCTAGTGATGTCACTGAAATGTGTAATATGAATTTATGTAGCTCATAATTTTTGAATGAATTACACATCAACCTCTATTTCCTGGGATGTTCCTATACAGCTCAGAATTTAAAATGTGTTTTAGCATATCAGTATAATTCTTTTCCCCCATTTGTGGACAGAAATAAAAGCTCAGACAAAACTAGGCAAACACCCCCAAGGAGATTTTTAAGGCCTGAGTGCAAACCGAAGACAAGTCCAAGGATGCTTTGGAGCTTTAGGAGGAACAGAAGCTGTGTAGTCCCTGAGCTTGTCTTCTCAGGTCTGGGAAGGTTCCTAACCTAGATAGCTCACAGCTTTGCAAACACATTTTTATTGTCCACTAAGTTTGTCCACCAGGATCATCGTCGTGGTGTCTGTGCAGTCCCACACATGGGTTGGGTGCCTGCGCATGACCTCATCGGGGAGAGTTCCAGAGCTTGCCTCAGAATTGTTTTGGCAGGCTCTCTTCCCGCTCTGGGGAGCAGGCACACACTGCGCATGCCTGGAGTGGGTGAGAGAGCTACCTCCTACTCAGTCCCTTTTTGCGTTCACACCTCCTTTGCCTCGCTCTGCCTCGCTCTTCGCTCGCCTCAGCTGTTTGTTCTCCTCAACTCTTCTCCTAGTTCTTCTTGTAATCTTCGTTCTTCGCTATTTTCATCTAAAAATATATTACTATCGTTCTTTTTCTCTCAGCTTTTTCT